CTGCTTCATTCTCCATGTCTGGCCACTGAAGATCAAATCCACCACGATGATAGGGTTTCAGCACAACAGGCTCTTTCCAGTCACGACAGTCAGATATGTCTAGGCTCTTGAGGTGAAACCACAGTTCATTTCTCCTGCAAGGACCATAGAGATAAATGTTTTCTTTATGATCTGTTGAAATATGTATATAGACTTTTAAAAAACAACTAACAGTCAGTCCATTCTGTGCTCTGTTTCCCTAGAAGGTTTCTCGTGATCGCCCCTCCGAGAGCTAGAGGGGTTGTGTGTCTGGGAACAAAGAATGAAGACACTTTAAAATCAGCAGTGAGAATCCTAGTGAGACACTCAGAAGCGGAGGGTGGGCTGGAGGGAGATGGGGGATGGGAGGCGGGTGATGTGACTGAGGAGCTGGGTGCCGCCTTTTGTGAAAGCCAAGTGGAGACAGAAGCATCGGGGCAGAAAGCTCTGCCAGGGAAGGCCCAGTTCCTTCCTTGCTCTTTCCTGGGGAATGAGGGACAGCACAACCTCTGTCTTACCACTTCTAAGGGCCGAAGACCTGACCTCTGACCCTCCACCCACTCCGGTGACCTGCACGCTAAGTTGGGTGGTCTCTGACAAACAGGCTTAAGCCAAGAATTGGGGTTTGACTCCCAGAAGACCCAGGTAGAATTCCTTTCAGTCCATTTCAGGCAGCAAGGACCTGGGAGGCTCACTCCCCAGGCAGCTGAGAGGTGTAGAGGGAAGAGCCAGGAACAGGAGAGGCTTCCAGGGCTCCGAGATCAGAAGTGGAAGGTGCCAGCCATATGGCGGCCGTGAGCCTGGCTCGGCTCTGTGAGGAAGACCTGCTGCCGCTGCCACCTCACCCTGTGCTGGGGTGACCGTGCGAAGTCTCCGCAGCCAGCAGCAGCCTCGATACACCTCGAGTATCTTTCATATGTATATATGGAGAAAGATATATACATATATATCCATTATTTTTAACTGAAATAAGTGCAATGGATCAGGTTCATTCCCCTTTGCTAGGAGTCCCTCATTCCCCTGCCCTGAGGGCCTCCAGGCTCACCTCGGCTAAGGGAAAGCAGCCCTGGAATGAGGAAAGGACAGGACACACACCACAGCAGGTGACTGGGAGGAAGGCCTACCTCGCGAGACTGTTTCTAACCCTGAGAACCTAAGGAATTGTGAAGGACTTGGACAGGGGGCTGGGTTTAAAGGTCACCAGGCTTTTTATTGCAATTGAAGCAGACTCGGACGAAATGGTCCCAGCCACAAGAAGGGACAGCCCGGCGGTCATGGGAGCACTCGTCACAGAAGCCCTGTCCGCAGGCCTGGCAGTGGTGCTTGGACAGCTTGATGCTGAACTCCTTCTGGCAATTGTGGCAGTGCAGGATTTCATGGTCAGGCACCCAGTACGCAGGCCTGGCCGCATCCTTTACCAGACCTATGGCAGGGGACAATAGTCAGGACACCCAAAACCCCGACTTCCAACTGGCAAGAGGGCATCCTCAGATGCTTACTGGCTTGTAATCCCAACTGCATACAGAACTGCTTACAGAGCTTTTTAAAATGCAGATTCCCAGGCTCCACCACTCACAGCCAGATCAGAATCTTTCAGTCTGGAGCATAGGCACTGATATTCCCTTTTATCTTTTTTTTTTTTTTTTTTTTTTTGGAGGGAGTCTCGCTCTGTCCCCCAGGTTTGAGTACAGTAGCATGATTTCAGCTCACCACGACCTCTGCCTCCTGGGTTCAGGCAGTCCTCCCACTTCAGCCTCCCAAGTAGCTGGGACTACAGGCACGCACCACCACACCTGGCTGATTTTTGTAGAGACGGGGTTTCCTCACGCTGGCCAGGCTGGTGGTCTCAAATTCCTGGCCTCAAGTGATCCACCTGCCTTGGCTTCCCAAAGTGCTGGGATTCTAGGCATGAGCCACCATGCCCAGCCTTTCTTTTTCTTTTGAGACAGGGTCTCACTCTGTTGCCCAGGCTGGTCTCAAATTCCTGGGACAACTCCTGCCTGAGCCTCCCAAGTAGCTGGAATGACAAGCATGCACCCCCATACCCAGCTCCTTGATATTCCCATCTATGAAGCTCTCTCTGTAAACTGAAGGGGCGGCCGTGTTAAGAACCCCTGGAGGAACTATAAAGAAGTCTGGGCTCTGGAGTCAGACACTCTAATCTCTATTTTACTGAGAATGGGTTAATCATAAACTGCTGGATTAAGAAACTTTAGCTAAGGCTGGGCACTGTGGCTCACACTTGTAATCCCAGCAATTTGGGAGGCCGAGGCAGGCAGATCACTTGTGGTCAGGAGTTCAAGACCAGCCTGGCCAACATGGTGAAACCCTGTCTCTACTAAAAATACAAAAATTAGCTGGACATAGTGGCACATGGCTGTGATCCCAGCTACTTGGGAGGCTGAGACACGAGAATCACTTAAACCTGGGAGGTAGAGGTTGCAGTGAGCCAAGATTGTACCACTGCACTTCAGCCTGGGCAATAGAGTGAGACTCAATCTAAAAAAAAAAAAAAAAAGAAAAGAAAATAATGGGTAGCGAACCTCTCAGGGACTTACTCATCTTAAACAATCCACCTTCAAGAGCTGTGATGAGGATGACAAGAAAGAATGTGCGTGATACCCTGGCCTGGGACTCTACATCTGTGGGCACTCAGGATGAGAGCACTTAGTGAGCACAGCTTGCAGGCCATGCTCTGCTTCTGAGCCAAGGACAGTCCTTGCCTCTCCCAGGCACCCCTGAAGACAGATGCAAGCTGAGATTGAAGCCTGGGCAAATCCGGCAGTTCCTACATTATGTACTCTGTGAGCCCCAGTGAAGAAAGCTGCTCCAGGCCATTTTCATCACTACCTACTTTTGCTCACTCCCCTACAATATGCCACGCTACCCCAGGCCTAGCCAGCCTTGCCTAAGCCCGCCATGCCCTGGGTGATTCCTTCCCTCTTCCCCTTGCCATCCTGAATACATTCAAAGCTGGGTTGCTATTTTAAATCTTAAACTACTAATAGTTTGGCTGGTACAACAGATTAAAGGTAGTGTAGACTCTTTAGCCCACTTTCCATCTTTGACACTCACGCCCCCTCCCTTGAATCTAGGCAGGCCCTGGACTGCAGCAGACTCCAGGAGATGACAGCAGGGGTGCCCGTCTGCAATCCTAGGCCTTAAGAGATGGGAACCTTTAGCTGGGCAGCTTCAGCTGGGCGCAGTGGCTCATGCCTGTAATCCCAGCACTTTGGGAGGCCAAGGTAGGTGGATCACCTGAGGTCAGAAGTGCAAGACAAGCATGGTCAACATAGTGAAACCCCATCTCTACCAGAAATACAAAAATTAGCTGGGCCTGGTGGCACTTGCCTGTAATTTCAAGTACTCAGGAGGCTAAGGTAGGAGAATTGTTTGAACCCGGGAAGCAGAAGTTGCAATGAGCTGAGAGTGCACCCCTGCACTCCAGCCTGAGTGACACAGTAAGATTCCTTCTAAAAAAAAAAAGAGAGAGAGAGAGAGATGGGCAACTTCTACTTCCTGTCTCTTGGAACATTAGCTCCTGGAATCCTGACATCACTGAAGAAGTCCAGCTTCTTAAGTGCCAGAAAAACCACTGAAGAGGCATGGAGAATACAGAGAGGGGACGAGGCTCTGCTCCACACAGCCTTCTCACTGTCCCTGCCAAGGCACCCCGCTTGTAAGTGAGGTCAGCTTGGAGTCTTGAGACCACTCCAGCTGCCATGATGGAATATCAGGTAGTAACTAGAGGAAAGGCCACTTGGAGCTGAATAATCACCCTTCCTGACTTCTACACCTAGAAAGACATCCACGATGCTTGTTTTCTTTTTTTAATGTATTTTTTTAGATGGAGTTTCACTCTGTATGTAATCCAATCTGGAGTGCGGTGGCGTGATCTTGGCTGTCTGCAACCTCCACCTCCCGAGTTCAAGCGATTCTCCTGCCTCAGCCTCCTTAGTAGCTGGGATTACAAGGCGGGAGCCACCACGCCCGACTCAAGATGGTTGTTTTAAGCCTTTACATTTTAAGGTAGCTTGTTATACAGCACTAGATGCTGTGAGAGAATGGCCTCAGGAATAAACATGAAACTACTAAGGCATTCAGCAAAAGCAAGCAAATGGCGGTTTGTAATTGATTCCTTACCACCTATCTCTATCTAGGTTGGCAAGCTTTGGCAAAGTGGCAGCCCAGGGCACCCAAAACCCCTCAACCCAGATCTGCTACACTCAAGAGCAGCACCGCCAGGCCCACCTGGTGGTATGTCAATGGCTGTTACAACAGCTCCCAGAGTGTTCTGCACGGCCTCGCCCACCATCTGAGCGATGAGCGTTCCGCCTTCATCGTCCACCTGTGCCTCAGTAACATCTGTAGACAATAATAAGGGAAAAGCTGTCACCTCTAAGTCCTCTCCCAAATGGAAAACTCATGGAGCAACAGCAGAACACTTCTGGATTCTGAACCCAAACACCACCATGCTGTCCAGCAACCATTGCAAAGATCTGCGCTGTGGGTCAGGTCGGCCCAGACCCTGAAATCCAATGACATCTGTCAGTCCTTTATCCGCAACCTTCTGGGGCTCCTTTATAACCTTCTTTAAGGCAGAAAGGTTCTAGGAGCAAAAACTAGTACCTTCTCAAAGGAGAAGACTGAACCAGAACCTTCTCAAAGGAGCAGCCTTTTCGGAACTCAGCTATGTGTGTATTCCCTTCCCCCAGAAGCACCTCTGCAGCGAAGAATGCAGGACAGGCTCCAGCTCTGAGGAACAGCATCCATAGGACGCTGTTAACAAGGAGCTTGGAGCCTGACTGGCCGAGACCCGAGGTAAGTGCTCTCACAAGGAAGATGTGGTTAGGAGTGGGACTGGGGCACCTGAGCATCCAGTTCCCAGTGGCAAGGAGGGAGGGTCTCCCCGCCACCCCTGCAACTCTCGGGCCCCACGTTACCTAACTGGACATGCCTGGCTTCATAGCACTTGTTGCACATCCGCACCGGTGCAGGGCCTTAGCCCTGCTCAGGCACTGGCCGGGTCTTTGATGAACAGCTGTCACAGAAACCCTCCCCACAGGCTCGGCAGTGATGCTTCATGTAGTTATCTTTAAAGGACGTCGCACACTTGTTGCAGCTCTGTTCCAAGCCCAAAACAAAACAGAGAGGCGGTAGGTTTTGGCATATGTTTGCTCAGCTGAGAAGTCGACCAGAGCTGGAGCAACCAGAAACTAAGGCAGGTGGTGTTAGCTCAAGCAGGACAAAACTTTCTAGTAAGAGTTATCTGAGACTGGAAAGGAAGCCTGGTGGGCAGCCAGTGTCCTTTCACTAAGTGTCTGGGTTAAAGCTGGGTGCTCTCTTGCTCTGGGTGCTGTAGCATTAATGGATCAAGCTGAGGATGACCCTAAATAACCTTTAAAGGCTCCTTTTCCCCAGATTCTGTATCTGCATCCTCACACATCTAAGCAATATTAATTGGCCGCCACAGACAAGAAAACTATAAGCCAAGAGAGAAAATACTTGCAGGAAAACACGACAGGAAATTAGTGGGCAAAGAGAAAACTGGCCTTCTCAATGACTCCTACCCTTCCCAGTATTCACAGAGCTCAATGCACTGGCAGAAATGTTTGGGTCTTCTTCACAGAGCAAGCTTAGCACAGGGCAAAGCAGCATTAAGCAGGATGGGCTGTGCCAGGGGTGTAAGGGCATTGTGCCACACCATACCAGAATCTGGAAGTTGGGCCTCCAGTAGGCAGGGGCAATCTGGTCTGTCAGCCAGGAAGTCACAGCCTTGGTGGGTCCAAGGCTAAGCTCAGGCACCGACTGAGCCATGAACTTCATGCCGTCCAATAGGGGCTGGGCAGCGTTGTTGTTGTCCTTCAGAAACCCGTCAGTCTGAAATGAAAGTGCAGGCTTCCATCATGCTGAGAAGGGAGTGAAAGGAAGGAGGAAGAGGGATGTCTGGTGAGTTGCAAACTCACTGTGGCCAACTCAGGACCATTAACTCCCTGGCAGGGAAAAATGCACACGGACCAAGATCCCTCTGGCTTTATTCTCTTCAAAGCGACCATAAGACTTGACATGTAGCTGTTCAATTCAGGACTTACTAAGCCCATATAATACAGGAGGTGACACCTCTTCCAGGAGGCCCCCCACCACAGGCTGAGTTAAGAACCTTTCCTCTTCGTTCTTCCACCTCTTCGACATCTTTAGGAATCCTATTTCTGTGTGTCTCAATACAATCTCCATGTATGGATCTGACTCCTTATCAAATTCTGAACTCCCTGACAATAACTCTTTTGCATTTTATATTTTGTAAACTAACTAGCTCAATTCTGGGCATAAGGTACATAACAATGTACCTTGAAATGTAAAAGGGAGACAGGGAGGGAGGGAGGCATCCCCCCTCACAGCAGGGAAGGCATCTGTATTCTCCTAATTTCAAGTACTGTGAAAAGTACAACCTTAGAGTACTCTACTGCAGTACTGTTTTCCTGGAATATAAACTAACCACCTTTTCTTTCTCAGTATAATACCACGTGAAATTCCTGGGACAAGATGACGTGAACCATTATGCCAAGGAGGTTGGCTCCAGTACTGAGACTACCATTCAATAACAAATTTCACTGGGCCTGAAAATTGGGAAAAAATAAGGAAATCTCCAGTTTTATGGTACCTAAGGATCCAGGAAAGCTCAGAAGGGACCTGCAGGTAGGATTCCTAGGCTGAATGGTGGCTTGAGGAATCACCAAACAAGGACAATGACACAGAGTAGAACGATTCCCTCAGTGAAAAATCACTTGTCTTTTTGCCGTGAAAAGGAAAAGTTTTGGATTTGTTGTGATTTATGGACAACGCTGAGTGTGCGCGCTGATTTAATGCAGAATGAAGGCGTGACGTCACGGCCTCATGAGCAGATGCGTGTTTCTGACATCTGGAACTCCAAAGTCAAAGTAAGAATCACTGAGGGTCTATGGGATCCCACTTCCTAGAATACACTGGAAGAAAATTTCCTAAAACAAAAAACGGCTTTCTTACACAAACATAGTCACTAGCATTTTAATGGATTTTTTCAAAAGGTAAAAATAAAACTAAATAAAATAGCATTATGAGGAAAAAAAAGGCAGAAAAAAGGCATGTAAATTATCTGTATCTATAAAAACATATATAGAAAAGAAATGAGTAGAATATGGGAAAATGTTTTATTTGCCAAAAGAGTAAACTATAGATTTTTATTGCATTTCATTAAAAGTTGTACTTTATTTATTTATTTATTTATTATAGAGATGGGGGTCACTCTATGTTGCCCAGGCTGGAGGGCAGTGGCTATTCACAGGCACGATCACTACCTACTGATCAGCACAGGAGTTCTTACCTGCTCCATTTCTGACCTGAGCCAGTTCACCCCTCCTTAGGCAACCTGTTGGTCCCCTGCTCCCGGGAGCTCACCATATTGATGCCGAACTTAGTGGGACGCCCGATCAGCATAGCGCACTATGACGCAGAACTTCTGAGCTCAAGCGATCCTCCCACCTCAGCCTCCCGAGTACCTGGGACTACAGGCACGTGCCACCGCACCCGGCTCAAGTTGTGCTTCTAACATACATGCAAGAAGAAATAAAAACAACTAAATGTCTAGAAAGCAAAAAAGCTCTCCAGATCATGCCTTTCTAAACCACCAATATTCTGAAATTCACAGTTAACCTTAATTTTAAGCAAGTTCCGGTTTTCTACATATGAAAAACTGAACAACACAAGATAAAGGAAAACAGTTCTTACTCCAGGCCACACGTGCACAATCTCTGTCCGCACCACCTTATCCACAGGATCTTTGTTTCCAAACCAGTACTGCCGACTATGATAGACCCCGCCACAGTTAGGACATTCGATCACATACCTACAAGGAAGGCAAATCAATACTGTAACCCAGCCAGCTGCCTGGGGAGACAAACACAACAGAAAACCTTTAGCCACATTGTTTAAACTCACCCAGACCAGGCATATTTTGCGAGACCCATCCAGGGAGAGTCAGTGGAAGTAGATGTTTTGGGCACTACGCTGACTTCGTCACCTCTCTCATAGCAGGCCTGAAACAGGGAACACTCTGCTAGCTTAGTTTTTGTCTTTTGGTTTTTTCTTTTTTAGTAGATATGGGGGTTTTACCATGTTGCCCAGGCTGGTCTCGAACTCCTGGGCTCAAGCCATCTGCCCACCTCAGCCTCCCAAAGTGTTGGGCTGATAGATGTGAGCCATCATGCCCTGCCTTCTGCTAGCTTTTCCTATGTACACCACAGCCCCGACATCCATCCCGACTCTCCACAAACCACACCAGCTTAGAGTCTCAGATGGTGCGTTTAGCACCTCAGAAGAAAGGTCATTCCTCTAGAGAAGCCAGTGCCCCGAGTGGTAATGAACTGAGTGTGTCCATCCCAGGCCCCAAAACTGACCTTTAAATTATGTATCGGTCACAGAGAGGAGGACAATCCAAAACCAGTTTTCTAAAGAGCACTTCTGCTCTTAAGAATGAATGTTTGATGTAAATGACCCTTACATACAAGCTCAACAGAACGAGGAGAAAATAAGCTTAAAACAGTGAACAAAGGGACCCTCACCAATGAAGATATGTGGATGCTTTTCGTTAGAGCTGGAGAGAAGTTCCAGAAATATTCCACTTGAATATCAAATACTTTGGCAAGCAGCCATGGATGGCCCCAAGATGGTCTTGCCAAAGAGAGAGAGAGAGAGTTGTCAGCAAGCCTGCTGCTGAAGCAGGGAAGAGCTCAGAGGACTCACCTTGCAGGTATAGATTCGGTTGTCATACTGGTGGGAGTATCTGCAGCGGTTCTGGGCTTCATGAGGCACTCCTTCCTTCCCATGATTCATGCTGTTCTTACATCCAACCCTGAATGAAGCCCAAAGACTGACAATGAGATGGCTAAAGAAGCAACTGCTACTTACACAGAACAGTCTGACCCTGAGTCAGACACAAGGCCAAGACCAGACTTTGATTACTAACTGGGCCTCAGGTGCTGAACACATAAGTGTAGCTGGAAACCCACATGCCTCTCTGTTACACTTGCAATCAACAGCACTACAGAGGTACAGCATCTACTATCCTTGTATGAGGACAAAGGGAAAAAAAGAAATCTCACCTGGGCATGGTGGCTTATGCCTGTAATACCAGTACTTTGGGAGGCCAAGGGGGGCAGATCACTTGAAGTCAGAAATTCAAGACCAGCCTGGCCAACATGGTGAAAACTTGGCTGTACTAAAAATACAAAAATTAGCTGGACATGGTGACGGGCACCTGTAGTCCCAGCTACTCAGGAGGCTGAGGCAGAAGGAGAATCACTGGAACCCTGGAGGCGGAGGTTGCAATGAGCCGAGATCGTGCTACTATATTCTGGCCTCGACAACAGAGCGAGACTCCGTCTCAAAAAAAAAAAAAAAAATCTTGGAAAAACTACCTGTCCCTTCAGCAGAAATGGAGGAGCCAGAAGATACAAACTTGATCAGAGACAGGAAACCTGAACAGCTCTCAGAAAACTCAAAAAATCCAAACAAGATGAAATGGAAAGTTTACCAAGAACAGGCTGCCAAGATGCAAATGAAAACCAATCCCAAAAGTTGGCAATGCACTAAGGGGAGGCTTAGTCTGATCAAGAAAGCCTTCCAAATGAACAGTGAGTCCTGCCATCCTGACAGTGCAAAAACAGAGGTCAGGACTTTAGAATTTCACTATGATAAAAGGGAAAGTTCCAGAAATCCTGGGAGGCTCACAATTAGAAAGCAATGATCCAACAGTGCTTAAGCCTCTCATGCTGGGCTCATGGGCATGCAAAAAAGGTAAGTCACACTGGTAACTAACACCCCTCTCCTCTTTCCAAGCTGAACTCTCCAAGATAATCCTGAGTTCTCCCTTGCCCAGGCTGTATAATACCAACATCCTTTTTTCACCAAGGCCAGAGGTGATTCCGCATGCAGCATGTGGCCTACAGGGCTCAAAGCAAAATGGCCATTCATAACAAATGTAGGTCAGGTCTACTTCTGTAGAAGGGCAAGTGTGCAGGATAGGGGCACTGGTTCTGGTAGGAGTAAAGACAATTTGGTATTTAAGGGAGGTGGGAGGAACTGTCTAAGGACATGGAGACTGCCATCTGACTTCCACATACTGCATTTAAATCCCCTGGGGCCCATCGGACAAGTCACCAGACTGATTTAATAGCCATCAACAGTTCAAACTGATCCAGTGGTCCTCAAAGGGTGGTCCCCATAAACAACATCAGAATCACCTGAGAATTTAATAATTTATTAAAATGCAGGGCTGGGTGCGGTGGCTCACGCCTGTAATCCTAGCACTTTGGGAGGCTGAGGTGGGTGGATCACCTGAGGTCAGGAGTTTAAGACCAGCCTGGCTTTCATGGTGAAACCCCATCTTAAAAAAAAAAAAGCAAACTCCCAGGCCCTACCTCAGACCTACTGAATTACAAACTGTGGAGGTGGGGCCCAGAATTCATGCCCTTTAGCTTTTTCTGATGCTTGCTGAAATTTGCAAATCACTGCTCTAACAAAGTGCAGTTCACAGACCAGCAGCACAAGTATCACCAGGGAGCTTGACAGAGATACATAATCTCAGGCCTCAGCCAGAACTGATTCAGAATCTGCATTTTAACAGATTCTCAAGGTGATGCTTATACATATGAAAGTTTCCGAAGGACTGCCGCAATTCATCATCCTCAACTGAGGCTGCACTTTCGAATCCTCTGAGGAGCCTCTTAAACATACCTATGCGGGGCCCTATACACAACCCGTTAAATTCGAATCCCAGGAGGTGGTGCCTGGCCTCAAGAATTTTGAAAGAAATTATCCTCAGAAAATTCTAATGTGCTCTAAACATCTGTCCTAATAGTGAAAGAAATCACCTGAGACCAATACCTACCCATAGTGCATCGCACGGGGTGGGGGCAGGGAACGGACTCAAATGTCAGTTGAATAATTGGAATACTATGAATAAGTGACTAAATGCCCTGGATGAAAAAAAAAAACAGAAAAACAAGCAACCCAAAGTTTTTGGTCCCAAAAACCCCAAATCAGAGGTAGTCAATTTCACATCTATACCAGTTGGAATTTCCAGGATATTCTTCACAACCACTAGTCAATTTCACAACTATACTAGTTGGAATTTCCAGGAGATTCTTCACAACCATGTGTCCTTGAAGCTCTTGCTACCTCAAAAGTGTGGGTCCCAGACCACTGGGATCCTGTGGGAACTTGCAAGTGCACCACTTTGGACAATTTAAATCACAGACTGTAATTTGGCAAGCGCCCAGGGGATTTGCAAACACACCAAACTCTCGGAAACACCAATCGAAGGCTCTATTCCCAAGGTATGGGGGTAGGGAGGGCCTGACTTACCCACAGCTGAGGCATAAGGAGGAGCAGGTGAAGTACTCATCTGGAAAAAAGGAGCTATGAGCCATCTGGTCATCAGGGATCTCACCGCTAAAGTGGTCGCTCAGGGCCTACCAAAGAGGGAAGGTGACATATGATGGCATTCAGTAGACAGCTCCGCATTTGGGCTCCCCACTGCAGCTACTATACAAGCACCACAGGCACAGAGGACATCCAGTAACTTCTGCTCATGACCCTTGATCTTCCTGACCCAACTCACATCATTCCTTACCATGGGAAACCTTGGAAAGAACCAGACCATTCCCCAAGAGGTCAAGATAAGCAAAGTTACTGTTCCCCCTAATTGCCTTGCAGGTTATAAACACTTTGCAGGTTGTAAACACCTCATACCACTCAGTCCTTTATTCAAGACCACCACAAATAATGACAAATGCCCATTTCATTTATGTGAGGCTGGGACCAAGAAACCAAGACTCACGAAGATGGCTCCTCTTTCAGCCATGGGCAGAGCTCAGATGTGATCCCAGCTATAACCACAGGCACTCAGTTGGAGTTTACCAGGCCACAGACAAGCTCAAAGTGGGAAAATGTCACCAGAAAAAAGAAAAAACAAGAATTATTATAGTGTTTAGCAGTCATTTATCAACCTATCAACCCCCATAGGGGGTTAATATTTGGCAAATGGCCAAAATAAATGCCAAGAAGAAAACATATCCATAAAGCAAAGTGAACATTTTAGGTTGAAATGTAGGTTCCACTCCTAATCCTATCTTGACTTATTATTAGATATTGAAAGTATTCCTCAACCTAATTACAAAAAGGGGCTTTCCACACTTTAAAAATTAAGTATATGTTGCTCCAAGCTTCTAACTTTCAGTCCAGTCCCAGTGTGATGAGACAGGCATTATTCAGGGGACCATAAGGGAAAGTGGCCTAAACAAAAGGACAAGATGTTACTTCCTTTAGTAAAAGGGCAGAAGATAATTTTAAGATGAGATATGGAAAAAGGGCAGGTCAGGTTTTAAACTAAGAACAATGATTGGCTGGGTGTGGTGGCTCACACCTATAATCCCAGCACTTTGGGAGGCAGAGGTGGGCCAGATCACAAGGTCAAGAGATCCAGATCATCCTGTCCAACATGGTGAAACCCGTCTCAACTAAAAATACAAAAATTAGATGGGCATGGTGGCACCCACCTGAAGTCCCAGCTTGCACTTGAACCTGGACAACAGAGCAAGACTCCATCTCAAAAAAAAAAGAACAATTAGAACTTCTTATGCAAGGTTCCTTTTCCTATTTGCAATGTAATCTTAACACCAGGAGTTGCAAACCCAAGTGACCACAAAGGCACGTAGTATCACTGTGGAGTATCACTGTTGAGTCGGGTCAGCCATAGGACCAGAATAGTGGCAAGGAGTGGGTCTAACTGAAGACACGCAACTCCCCTGAGGGCATTCTCACTCAGGTCCTGCAAGGCTACTGCAGAGGCCCAGAACACCATCTGTCAGTGATGGCTGACCAAGCGGCCACACTGGACTTCAGACAACAAAAAAATGGTCTGTCAAATAATGTGTAAGTCCTGTACTTCTTGGGGGTACTTTGATAAAGAGTGAAAACATGAAGATCTTGAAAGACTATATGGATGAATATACATAAATGCTGAGAATAAATAAGAAGCAGGGCAAGTGAAATCACAAGTTGGCCTATACATCTCAGCCAAATTAATTATACATCTCAGACAAATTAACTAACAAATTAACACTCCTATACAGCGTTCTCGCCTCTCCTACTTCTGCATGTGACCCATTCTTCAGGGATGTCTTTGGTCTCACCTCTTCCAGTGAAGCCACTCCAACCACATCACTCTCTGCCTTCTCTGAAGGCCTGCTGTACTCAATACAAAACTTGGTATTAAGCAATCAGACAATGATACAAAGCTATGGGCCTGCTGTATTTCATCTCCAGGACCAGAACATAAATACTGTCAAAGCAGCTTCCTACCTTTGAATCCTCTTCCAAATCCTAGCAAAGGTCCTAACAGGTCCTCAACTACAACTGCTGGGATAAGTGCCCCAGCACCAGCACCACTTCACGAACCAACCCGTGCCCTCCTCTCCTGGTCCTGCCCTTGCCCTAGGCTTCCTTCATCCCATGCCCAGAGGTCCTCTCAAGTTTAAAGCTAACTACTCCCTAACTTGCCACATGATCTGTAACTCTCCAGGCTGTTTCTCAAACAGATATGTGCAGAACACTCCAGGGCTCCTGATAGGAAAAGAGAGCTTTTTATGGAGACAGAGCCTCGCTCTGTTTGTTACCCAGGCTTGAGTGCAGTGGCGTGTTCACAGTCCACTGCAGCATCATCATCCCAGGCCCAAGCAATCTGCTTGCCTCAGCCTCCCAAGTAGCTGGGACCACAGGCGCATACCACCATGCCCCAATAATTTTTTATTTGTTTTGTTATTAAGACAGAGTCTTGCTCTGTTTGTTACCCAGGCTGGAGTGCAGTGGTGCGATCTTCGCTCACTGCAACCTCTGGGTTCAAGAGTTTCTCCTGCCTCAGCCTCCAGAGATGCTGGGATTACGGGCCCCCACCACCAGGTTTGGCTTTTTTTTTTTTTCTTCTTCTAGTAAAGACAAGGTTTCACCATGTTGGCCAGGCTAGTCTCAAACTCCTGACCTCAAGTAATCCTCCAGACTCAGTCCCCAAAAGTGCTAGGATTATAAAAGCAAGCCACTACACCCAGCCAAGAATAGCAGTTTTTATCCTAAAAGTTTTTTCTTTTGAACAAATAAATGAAAAACTAGCCTAAATACTGCTTTTCCTAAGGAGAAATGATATCAAATTTTGCATGAGTGCAACCGCTGGGTTGAATTCACAGAGGATGCCAACCCCCAGTAAATGGGAAATTGGGATCCAGTACAGCAAAAGGTTCTTACTGTTCCAACCCAAGTGACCTGGTTCACTTCTCTGAAAGTTCTTCAGAGAAACGAGGGCATTTGTAAGTATCTCAAGGCTTGGTGTGAAACAATTTGCAGCCTGATTTGCCACAGTAGGTATGCCATCATTCTCTGCCCTAGACAAATTAACTATTGGCTTATGTTGTTCAAGGTAACAGGTAACCTCTTATGACATAAGAAAGAGAACTCCCAGGCAAGCCAGCCTTCAGATGCTGGTACCCATCCTCTTGCATACTAGGTAAGAGAACAAGCATTTCACTCTTTCACAAGTCACAATCTGACTAATGAATCAGACCCTGACAAGTTTTAGGAGAATCAAGAGAGTGGGAAAGTAAAGTAACTGTTTAAAAAAAAAAAAAAAATCCAAGGTCAGCATGTTTCCATGCAAGGGTAGGGAGAAATTGTCCTCCTTTAGAATCTAATTTTTTTTTCTTTGGAGGCAGAGTCTTGCTCTGGCCCCAGGCTGGAGTGCAGTGGCGTGATCCTGGCTCACTGCAATCTCTGCCTCCTGAGTAGCTGGGACTATAGGCGCATGCCACCATGCCTGGCTGATTTTGTATTGTTAGTAGAGACAGGGTTTCACCATGTTGGCCAGGCTGGTCTCAAACCCCTGACCTCAAGTGATCCACCTGCCTTGGCCTATAAAATTTCTGGGATTACAGGCGTGAGCCACCATGCCAGGTCCTTATTTTTCTTTACATATCGCTTGATCCATATTAGTATGTTCAAAAATTCCAAACCTCATATCATTCCACAGTATCTTGGGTTCTCCTCCTCCTGAGATCCTGGAGCTAGAAGAGAAAGGCTGGGAATGGCCCCCCTACCCTGAGAAAGCTTAGGAAAGCATTTGAGGCAAGTCTGGAAAGGGTTGCCTGGAGACCATATGAACTTGAACTTTAGTTGCCTTGACAACAATGTGGCTGGCTCTTTCTATTGTACCTATAGGGTGGCCCCGGTCATCAAGGGCTAGCAGTGAATTTCCTGAATCAAAATGGACACACTTCTATAATCAATGACATAATGACATCACACCCAAACAAAACATAACTTTATAAATACCTAATAAATGCTTCCCAACCCGGGCATGTTGGTTCACGCCTGTAATCCCAGCATTTTGAGAGGCTGAAACAGGCAGATCACCTGAAGTCCGAAGTTTGAGACCAGCCTGACCAACAAGGAGAAACCCCATCTCTACTAAAAATACAAAATTAGCCAGGCATGGGGGTGTATGGGACCACATCCTTCCAGCTTTTCTTCGCACTCACGAGCAGATGGTGCCACGATGCTCTCTAATACTCATTAATAAGCACCTCCTGTACATCAGACACCCCCCACCCTTTTTTTTGAGACATGGTCTCACTCTGTTTCGCAGCCTGGATTTCATGAATTGCATTAACACAATTCCTGCTCACTGCAGTCTTGACCTCCTGGGCTTGAGCAGTCCTCCAACCTCAGCCTCCTGATAAGCTGGGCCAACAGGTGTGCACCACTACACTCAGTTAGTTGTTTTATTTTTTGTAGAGATGGGGTTTCCCTATGTTGCCCAGGCTGGTCTTGAACTCCTAGGCTCAAGTGGTCTGGCCTCGGCTCTCGAAGTGCTGGCATTCCAATATGAGCCATTTGTGAGGCACTTCTCACCCTCACACTAACCCCATGGCACAGCTGGGGAAACAAGTTTCTTGAGTTAAAGTGATATGGCAAGAAAGGCTGAGCCGGAATTAAGATTCTGCTCTTCCCAGTAGGGTGTGGTGGCTCACACCTGTAATCCCAACACTTGGGAAGGCTGAAGTGGGCGGATCACTGGAGGTCGGGAGTTTGAGACCAACCTGGCCAACATGGCGATACCCCGTCTCTACTAAAAATACAAAAATTAGCCAGGTGTGGTGGCAGCACCTTTAATCTCAACTACACAAGAAGCTGAGGCAGGAGGATCACTTGAACTTGAGAGGCAGAGGTTGCAGTGATCTGAGATCGTACCACTGCATATTCCAGCCTGGGCAACAGAGCAAAGTTCCATCTCAAAAAAAAAAAAATATTCTGTTCTTCCCAACTCTGAAGCCTCTGCTCCCCTCACGGCTGCATCCTGCACCTTTCATGGCTGCATCCTGCACTTTTTCAGGCCCAGGTTAACAACAACCGGGAAGAGGTGAGAGAGGTTTTTCTACCACGGTAAACCCTCCTCCCAGCCCAACTCCACCATCCTGGGCTGCTCTTCTAGTCACATGATCCTTTGCCCCATTTGGCCCAGTTGATCTTGAGCTCATCCACTTCTTCCACATGGCTCAGAGACAAGGGTGAGATTTTTCTTATTTCTCATGGCAGAAAAGCAAGCTCTGCCAAACCCAGAATTTCTGGTCTCTCCTGTCCCAGCACAAACCATTCACAGTCTTCCTGCAATTATTCCTGGTGCTGGGTTTTACTTCTAAGAAGCCTTCTGTCCCTCAACCTCACCAGCCCTTTGCTTTTCAGCCTAGAAGCTCAGGCCATTTGAGGATTGCATGTTCGGCTGTGGGCCGAATGGGGAATGCAGTGACTACACCTGGTTGGCATCCGATACCAAAGCCGGGGTTGTGGG